GAACTCGCGCCTGCTGCAAAGAACCAGCGCTCTTACCAACTGAGGTACCTTATGATTTGTTTCTTAGATCAAACTGAATGTAACTGCCAAATTGCAAAGCACGCGCGCTGGTCTATCGTGACATGTGCAACTGCGACCATGCAGTCCAATAGGACTGAAAAGTTCATGGTCATTCAACTTGGCTTTGACTCGGCTCCCCACGCAACATCATCAACTTCAACTTTGCCCGCAGAACAAGACAATGAAACCTTATCATTCCTCCATATTGGCTCTTCCCCTTCACTTCCGCCCAATCACCCGTCAAACTCCCCTTCATCTTCCACCTCCTCTGGAACCTTCCCCTTCTTGACCTCCCTCTTCTTGGGCTTCAGCCACTCCTCGCACCCCAGCGGCCAATAAACTCGATTAAACGGGCCTCCCATCGCCCTCTCCTCCTCTGGAACCTCCTTGGGTCCCTCCGGCGCATCTTTCACATCATCCGCTGCTGTGTCCACCTCCTCAGGTTCAGCTGCCTCTTCATCCGTTGCTCTCTTCCTCTTGCCTCCCTTTTTCTTCTTGGGTGCCTTGACCGGTGGCGCAGGACGGTTCTCGTCGTCACGGTCGTAGGGCACCATGTCATTGATCTTCTCAAAGCCGGGCAATTTGAAAGTGCGCATGAGCTCAAAGACAGCTTGCTCCTTGTCTTTGGCTTCGATCATGAGGTCCATGTCTGGCGGGCAGGGAGGGAGGGTCATCACGCGTGGGCGGTGTTTACGTCGGTCGCGAGGGGTGACGGCGCCGTCGCAGGGTTCGGAGTAGTGCATTTTCTGCTTGATGCCCTTGCGCTTCCACGTGTTGGCTATGCGCTCTTGGAGCTTGGGGTCCGAGATGTCGAGGGTACCTTCGCGAAGGTGGGCCGGGTCGAAGCAAATGTTGTGGTGGTGGTAATCGAGGACCATGGGAATGTTGAGCTCTTCGCATACGGGGAGGAGGTCGTGGACGGTCCAGCCTACGTCGTCGTTCTCGAGGACGAGGCGGTTCTTGCAGGACTGCGAGAGGCGGGCGTAGTTCTTCTTGAAGCGCTCGAGGGTGGCGGCTTTGTCGCCGAATTGGCCGCCCATGTGAATGATCATTACTGCGTCGCGGTTTTGTTGCTCCGGGAGCTTGAGAAGGGAGAGAAGTTCATCGTGATATTCGAGATCTCGGATGGCGGACTCGACTACTTCTTTACGAGGAGAGCCGAGTTGGGTAAACTATGTAAAAACTACGGTCAGCAGCAAAGAGAAACAGGAAACGACGAGAAAACCTACCTGTCCTGGGTGTGTGGTCAAGCGGTGGCCAAGCTCAGCTGCTACCCTTCCTGCTTCAGCAAGTACCTCGGATGCGAAAGGCGCCAGTTTGTATCCATGTACTGGATGACTGGCAAAGGGAAACATCTCAGAGCTGAGTCGAAGGAACCTGATGCCGTACTTTTCATTCCAACGCAGCATCTTGACAATGTCGCGGGCGTTGGCCAACCCGAGCTCCTGCACAAACTTGTGTCCCAATTCATCCTGCGGTTCCTTCGACTTGTCAGGCTTATTCTTCAAGTGATGTTCCGGCTCGTCCTCAAACTGAAGCGGATGTCTGTGATCGACAATGGATGCCATACGGCAAGTCCTAGAACTGAAGATGGGCGGCTTTGCGTTGCGCAAGTAGGTGTTGAGACATGCCTAGGTACACTCTGTTAGATGTGATCCTTTTTGAGATTTGAGCAATGTACTAACATAACCTAGTCGGCCCTTCCATGGCAATGGTAAGTAGCTGCTATTGACAGCTGGTGGCCGAGCGGCACCGCGTTCAGCCGCATCCTGCGCATCTTCTGGTTCGATAATGTTGGTTGCGGCTGGCTCCATTTTCACAACGTCGTCAACACCAATCTCCGCCTCGCCCTCGACGTCTTTCGAATGGGTCTTGAGCACCGGTTCCTTCGCCTCCCGCTCCTCGGCATTGGCAGATTTGTGGTGATAAGGCGCAGTTGGGAAGCGGCTGACCACTGATGGTACGGGGATACCGTCCTCTTCGAGTTGCTTCTTCTGTCGCTTTGTCGCTCTTTGTAGTCGTCTTTCCATCCTCGCTAAGCCTTCTATGGCCATTTTGACTCCCTCCTCTTGTTCCTTCCCCTCCCGCAAACAATGGCCATTTGCGTCTTTGCCCATCATACGCCCAGCCAATTCCTCCCCGCTTCGTTTTTCATGGTCACCGTCCTTTTCGCTGCTGGGCTGCAGAATATTACGACCTGATCGCCGAAGATTGCGTGCGGATGACGGGGCCGAGGAGTCCAGGGTTGAGCTGAAGGTGGAACTCTCGCTTTGTGGCGTGTCCAGTGCCGCTGCTTTGGATTTACGGGAAGGCATGGTGTGGAAGGATGTGGTTGACGTGCGTCGTGTTGTGCAGACAGGCACAGCAGGACGCAGTGACCGCGTGATGTACACAAGACCGCCTGTACGGAAGCTTTGTAAATATGATGCCGCTGTGACAATCGTGGACCTTGGTCGGATGTAGCGGGCAATGTTCATAGGTATGCTGGTTCGGTGGGAGGATGCTGCCTCGAGGGAAGCAGCTGCCAATGACTCGTGTTTTGGATCGAAGTAGTTTGTGGTCGAAATGCGTTGCGTGGGATGTATGGATCAATGGTAGAGGTATCTCCAGGTGATGTGTTTTCTGGGAGGTAGGTACTCAACGGGGTATATCAGTCAAATGCGGCCGTAATGACTGCTGGGAGGCGTCAAGAAATGTCGATCCCAACCTTGGGTCCAGCCGTATCCCACACACTATGTATTAGAAATTTGAATGGCGAGCTGAAATAGCATTTCGCCGCTAAATAGGTCCAAGTCACAGATGGATGACAAAAATGGTCAGCAAAACTGTTGCCGTCATGTGCGCGTATTCACTCTTCGTGTCTGTCTCGGGCGCCAGAGGGTACGGCGGTGCTCTTGTTTGCCGTGGTATTCGCAAGAGGCAAAAACAGGCAAAAGGGAGGGTTTGTTTGTGTAAGCTGCAAATCGGGCTGTCTTATATTATAACAATTCTTCCTCATGAGTGGTTGTATAAGCAGGGAGGACACGAATGGACCCTGGAGACCCTGAGGGAAGCCAAGGGAACCAAAGCGAAAAAGCAAAAAGAAAGTGATCTCATTTGGCCACTTCAGAGGTTGAGAAAAGGCGTTCCCCATACGTTTGTGCGATGCGTGCGAATACAGGGCGGGTTGGCGATCGAGCAAACATGGAAGAGAGGCGATGTTGACGAGAAAAGAAGCGAGCCGGGTCCCCCCTTCTTTGAGCAGAACAGATCGATGACAAACCGAAGGAAGGCTGGAAGGGGGAAATGATTATGAACTCCTCCCTTCTGAGGTTCAATGTGCGACCGGAGCGTCGTTTTCCTTTCTCTGTCGGGTGTCAACCCTTCAGCAACAACTGGGTGATTATCTAAATGCCAGCCAGGCCAAACGAACCTCGACCTAGGTATGCTGCTTCATGCCTCCCCCCAACATATGTGAGTGTGTGTTAAACGCGTTGAAGATCATCTCCCTGACGTTGTGCCGTCAACTTGGATCGAGATTGGCCAATCCAAACGCTTCATTCCATCAGTCGATGAAGTCATAGCGGGGCATCTGGCCCTGCAATGAGTCTCGGCCAAGCCGTCAAAGGAATCGTTTTGGGGGGACATTTGGGGTTCAGTCCAGATATGGCCCGTGCGCGGAGCAGCCAGGCGCTGTTCGTCCGGACCTGAACTTCCGTTGACTGGTTTCATGACGGAGGAACTTCAAACATCGGCTCAGGGGCAATTGTTGTTTGCCGAGAGAAGAAGCATCGATGATGACGACCAGGAATCATCCGAGCGGCTCCTTACTCTCTTCCATTGGACCACAAGCAAAGCTCAACGTTCCACGGACTCTTGGTTGTCAGCCGCCGACAATTACCCGAAACGGATAACAGTCCTGGTAGTGTACAAGCCACTGTGTCCTGCGAGACTGTGTACAGGTACACTAGTGTACTGCTACCGTTGCTACCCTGAAGATCGCCAGGGACCTCCCGTCCTGCCGCTGTTCCGGAATCCCGATCGTTGTCATCGTGTCTTCAACCATCAGATGCCATCTAATGCGTCCCCTTTTTATCTCTTTGACGCGGATATTTCGTTTATTGCATTCTGGTCTCATGGAAGGAATGGTTTGGGAATGACTGGATTCTTAATCTTGGTTCGACTTTGCTGTCGTCGTTTGCACCATCCAACCTGGAAGGAGTCTTTATGTTCGATCTTCAACATAATACCTTACTGTATAACGGCACGACCTCGCGGCGCCCTTCACCTAGACTAGGTAGGTACCTATGTCAAGCCATTGTCCTGACTCCCAAAGTCATCACCTTTATCATGTCCCATCTCTACCTGGTAGTAGCCATTCCATTACTCTTTTCCATGTCGCGGATCCCACGGATGTTGGTCAGTCAAGATGTAACGCCGCGCCGTCTTTGGCTCTTGTGTTTGAAACTGTGCCGTCCAGTCATTCGCCTGTGATTTCTTTCCCATCACCAATTAATGCCTGCTTCAGCCTACAGGCATACTCATGTTAAGCTGCGCATAGCAGCGGTGGATTATTTACTCACAGGGGTGAAAGTAGGTGTCCAGGACCTGCCAAAACATTGAGACAGGTGTTTACCTGTACACTTATCGCTTGTGCTGAGTGTATAATGTTGCCCGTCATCCTCCGTCATTTTCCCTCTGCGCCTTGTAGCTGCAGTTCTCAATCAGACATAGGACTCTCTCTAGAGTTATACGCCGCTCTTGGTTGCCTATAAGGTTCACTGCTCTGCCACTGCCCCTCCAGGCCCAGGGGCACAGGACTGTCTCACACCTAGCCAGAGCTTTGTCGAGAAGCAGCCGTAGCTTTTGCATATCTAGCGGACTTGCCGCTGTGAGGTTCAAGATGAATCGGAACTTTCTGTTCTCGCAGATATCGCCAGAAGCTTGCGGGAGATGACACGATGTGGTTTCTATCGAGCGTTGTTCTGTTCACCATCGTGTCCTACGGGGCAACAGCTCTTCAGCCACGGACCGACTCTGACATTCTCGCCTTGTATCCAGAATGTGCCGTACGTACCTCCGGCATTATTGAGACCAAAGCTGTTGATGTGATGCTGAGACTCAATCCAGCAAAATTGTATCCAGGTCCACCTCATCGACGAATCTTGCATGCAATCCAGCAATGACTGGGCATGCCTCTGCACTAACCAAGTAAACCACACACTCTCTTCGTCCTTCTACCACTGCCTCTCGCAGTTCTGTTCCATCCGGCAAACCCTCAGTGAGCCCTTCCCCTTTGTATCCACATACCCTCTCCGAATCTGAACCTCCAAGTGCTAACAAACCACGTAGCAACCCAGAACATCACAACCATCAATTGCCATCTCCCCACGAGGGACCGCTCCGCCCTCCTTCTCCGTGAAAACATTGCACTCCTAGTCTCCACCCTTCTGCTAACCACCTTGCGAACTTTATACAAACTCTTTGTCCCTTTTCCGGCCCACCCCAACACCGACAGCTCCTCGCACGGCTTCTCACGACCGCCTTCCCAGTATCTGCCTAGGTTACAGCGCCTACACGCAGACGACTATGCCCTCATTTCCATAACTCTTCTCGGTCTACCCAACCTCTTGCTCGCCATCTTTCGTCTCCATCCCTTGGGAGTAGGCCAGGATGCGTGGACTTTGCCTCTGGACAACATCGCCAAAACGGTGCGGTATGGATACGGAATGGGTGTTGTTTACTTTCTACAAGTTGCCCTCACCAAAGTGGTGTTTCTGCTTTTCTACCTCAGGATCTTCCCGGGAAAGGTGGTGAGAAGGGTGCTATGGGCAACACTTTCGGTTTGTGTGCTGTTTGGGTTGGGCAGTGCCATTGCTGGGGTTTTGCAATGCACTCCGGTGAGGTGGTGGTTCGAGGGCTGGGATTATCGGGAGGGCATACCGGGGGGAGATGCGACCTGGGAAGGATGGGGAGAAGATGGGGGAGGGAGGAGACCTGGGAGATGCATAAACAGAAAGGCCTTCCACGTCGCTGCGGCGGTGATCAGTATCTCCATCGATATCTGGATGCTGGCAATTCCGCTGTGGTGTATCAGGGGACTGAGGATGAGTGTATGGAAGAAGATGGGGGTGGTGGGGATGTTTGGCATCGGGATGCTGTGAGTTTCTCCTTCTTTACCCCCATGTTCTTCTTGATCCCTTGCTTTGGCCGTCAGTGTCATGTCCGATGCTCTTTGCTGACATGGACGTGGATAGTGTCACAATATTCAGTTGCATCCGACTGCGTGAACTGACTGTGTTTACGGAAACGCCCAACCCGACGCAAGCACTGTTCGATGTCGATCGGTGGTCTACTCTGGAAGCGGCGTCGAGTATCTTTTGCGCTTGCATGCCGACGCTGAGACAAATGGTGGTTAGCGTTGTCAGTCTTGGGAGGAGGAGGTTTGGAAAAAGGGGTTCATCAAGCGGTGGCAGCGGAAAGGTTGGAAGTTCGAGTACCTCTACAGTCGCTCTAGGGATCAACTCACGATATTCTCGCTCAACAGAGAATCCTAACGGTTCGCAACATCGCTTCTCGGATACCCCCCAAGAGAAACTACCCGACACAGAGCAACCCGTCCAGGATCTTTCCCATGACATGTCAGAAAACCATGATATCCGCAGCGGCAATAGCAGTATTATGTACACGGTCGAATACAGCGTCGAAGTGGACAATAGTCCTGCCAGTGCCATCACTCCTGAATCGGGACGGCTAAGTCCCCCACCGTACACGTATGGTAACGGCCCCCAAGATCCCCCGGGAGTCAACGACAACTGCGAAAATTATCGAGCGTGTGTGGTGTCGCGAAACTTGGGGAGGATCGGCGGAGGAGGAGGATCGCTCAGGAGGCAGAGTATGAGTCCGAGGTTGAGGGTTGTGGCCTGAACTTTGTGCTTTGCGTCGACTGGGCCGCCGCGATGGCTTTCGCTCGGAGGAGTTGACTGTTGAGGAATATGTCAGCACGGTTCTGTTTCTCCAGTCTAGGCATGTTACAAAGGCTTCAGCCTCCTTTGGGGGTTGGTCGATTCAGCCTCGCCATATGGTCTTTCTAGGTACCTAGTCCACGACAGATTGAAGCAGGCAAAAGGCGTCGACTAGTCAAGATTGGCCGATCGCACAAGGAGCGACAACTCACGAACCGTATCGAGTCAGCAGAGGCTGCAGAAGCAGAGTCAGAAGTTGATGCTTGTTACTTTGCCTTTTCCTTACATTCCAGTAGTTCTCTTCCGAACAGCTGCCAGGTTCAGGACATTCGGATCGCGACTAACTTTCGCATCCTTCCCCACTCGAGAGACATTTAGTACCGACCTAATTTTGGTCCCCTCCGTTCAATGTGTCCGACGATAAGCTTCCTTCGACGGACACTGCTGTTGGTGGCATCAAGAATTCCCACGGATGTGCATTGGTGCCAGAAGTAATCTAGAGGCTTATCGAAAGTATTGATCTTGGCCTGCTCACGGAGCTTCGCTGCAGTCGCGTTCTTCGGGTTTTCTTGTTGAAGGAAGCTCCAAGGCCACGAGCGCGTTTTCTTACTGTCGTAGGAGGAGCTGGAGTAGCCAGGGTGGGCAGAAATCTGTCTGCTAGAACTCTGTATCATGTTTGTCGAGTGCCGGTATTGGTGAAATGTTGGCCACTTTTGTTGACGGTGGTCCAGGTCAACGGATTGAACACAAAGAATGGAGATGAAGTGAAGCTGACTGGTGTACAATTGCGTGCGGAAGGCGCGCCCCATTCAAATTTTCCCACAGAGAGTGCCCGTCCATTGCGGATTTTGCAGGGAAGACTCTGATTCCTTTCTGCAGACCAACCAGCCGATCAAATCCTTTGACTTGATTCTCGTCTTGCCCGACTACTTGCACAAATGATTGCCTCCTAGGAGATTCAACATTGTGCTCCAGAGAATGCCGAGGAGCTGTAGTCTTGTTCTGCCTCAACATTATATGTACCTCCCAAGGACCACCCCGCGGTAAAAAGTTAACGCAAAGGAAATCCATTTCACGGTTACAAGCACAGATTAGATTCGTTCTGTCTGTAATTCGTATTCACCAAGGTAGAGGTGCCTTCCTCCTCTGGTCTTGCCGTCTTTCGGATGGCCGCTTGTGTTCCGCTTCAGGCTCCGACTCATCTGACGTCTGATGATGCCATGAACAGCTCGTGACTTCTGTTTTGGCCGCAGGAAAACCCCTGTGTAATTTGGGGGGGCGGCTCAACTTGGTCATCAAAGCGGTCACCTCGCTCTTTTACATCGTAAAGTCGGGAAAGGGCGGTTCCATCCTGCCCGTGTCCCCTGTAGGGAAGGTGCCCCAAGTCAATACACACCTGACAAGGACTCTGTTGCTCAACCTTTGCCTTCAGTCAACTCCCTTCTCCCGAGTTTGCTTCGTCACGCTGAGTTCAGCCTTCCTTGGCGTAGGTCCATAACATGATCTTGCTTGTATTCTAATTTGCCTGGAGGAGTAGAGGTACCACTAGTCTTGAGATCACATGCTCTTCAAATGGCTTCACTTTGGTCTCAACAACGGTAACAATTGAAATATTGCCACGCTCAATATTTCTGGCTCTTGCTCTTTCCGTTGTGAGGAGGCATTTACGTCACGTTTCTCTCGTGATTATTACTGCCTACCCGTAGTGTCATCCGCATGGATCGAGGCTCGTCGATTCCGCCCTCATGTGCCATCCCAGGGGCAGCCATCCGCAGCGTGCCTTCCCCTCGGGTTAAGACTGTGTGCCTAGATCGCTCCCGAATGATCAACCTCTTATCTGAGGAGGCCGATGACGGACGATCCCTCAAAACTACTTCCCGTCTTTCTTCATGGCAGCAATCTCCGCATGCAGCAGATTACATTTCTGCCTGGAGGAAGGCACCCCTCTGCCTGAACTGGACTCTCTCCAGCCCAAGCCTTTCTGCTAGATTTTGCGGCTAAATGAGCCTCCGTCGGTCCCAAGGCATAACCAGCTAGCTACCGTAGAGGTATCAACAATGATAATCGGATGAAATTGTTTCTGAATGCCTCAGTATTCTCTGAGAGATTGTCCCAAGTGCCTCGGTCCCGAGCATCAGCTTTGTAGCCGGCTCATCCCATGTTTCCATCGACTGCGGACTCAAAGACTGCTTTCCCAATCACCGCACACTTGAATGCCTGGAGCAGACTGTCCGTGAGCAGTTATCGTACCTTCCTCAAGAGCGTTCTTGCCTTCGAACCTTGCATGCGTGACCGGTCTGCCGAGTTGGGATGAAACACACGCAATTTTCTTCGCAGGTTGACTCAGTGACTTCATTCTGTTCCTTCTCACAATAGGTTTGCCCGAGCACTTGTCCATCCCACCTGGAGGAAGATAAAAGACCCTCTCCTCCCTCGGTCTCGTTCCTTTCCTCTTCTCCTTCTTCACCCTCACCACCCAGTTCAACCTTACCAGAGCAGCAGCAGCAGCAACAGCCCAAGCAGCAGCAGCAACAACAGCAAAGACTCTCGCCTCCATAGTAAGCACCATTCCCACCCCTTCGACTCTGTCCCCAATTTGTTCAGTTTCCTTCGCGAAACTTCTTGCCGAACTGTCGGAAAGCCCTTCTAACATTGCAACCTGACAGCCAGTTGAACAAGACCAGAGCACCAGCGACCCAGTTTCGCCAAAGCCCACGCAAGGTACGCATATCGTCTTCTTCTCTCTGCCTTCTCACTTTCCCATGACGCCTTTTCACATAGTTCACTTGCCTCCAAACCACGTCGCTAACTCCCTGCTTGCATCTTCAGTGCCAGCGCCCGCCGTTGCCTTTTCTCCGCGCCCTATACCCAACCCATCCCAGCCAGTGCCCCGCCGCCCACACCCCTCAACCCCAAGACCGAGGAAGCCGCCAGGATGTGCACCCAGACCGTCCTAACCACCCACCTCTGCCGCAAATGCGGCTCCCCGGTGTCCAACACCACCACTACCACTACCACTCCCTGCGTGGGCGGCGGCGGCGGCGGCAGCAGCAGCAGCACCAACAACAACAGCAGCAGCACCTGCCCGGGCGCGGGCAAGACCATCACCAAGACCGCCACAAGCGGCAAAGTTTGCGGGGCATGCACCCTGGAGGAGGTTCGGATCTATGCAGGGTCCT